GATGGACGATTTCTTTTCACAAAGATGGCCTCCTTTACTCCTCTCTCAAACCATCGTTCCTCTCTGTCCAGGATGTGAACATCTTCATCCCTGAAAGAGTGACCGCTGGCCTGGAGATGAGTGTAGACCGCAGAGTCCTGGCCTGATGATGTTGATCTTCTGTGCTGGGCCATCCTTTTGGCCAGTGGCTGTTTTGTTTCCCCGATGTAAGACTGATCACAGCCCTGTCTTACACAAGCCAGGCTCTAGAGCAATGTGGATATCCTAACTGGGCCTTCCTGAAAGCAGAGAAGAAACCCAAACAGGACTCCAGTCAGCCATCAGGTGAAAAGGAGGAACCCAGACCCAGACCAGTGGTCATTCCTTATGTTGAGGGAGTATCAGAGAAACTGAGACGTTTATTTTCTAAACATAACGTCCCAGTGGCTTTTAAACCCCAAAATACATTATGGCAAAGACTGGTTCATCCCAAAGATCCAGTCCCCCGGCACAAACAGATTAATATTGTGTATACTGTTCAGTGTCAGGAGGGTGATCAGTCTTACATCGGGGAAACTAAACAGCCACTGGCCAAAAGGATGGCCCAGCACAGAAGATCAACATCATCAGGCCAGGACTCTGAGGTCTACACTCATCTCCAGGCCAGCGGTCACTCTTTCAGGGATGAAGATGTTCACATCCTGGACAGAGAGGAACGATGGTTTGAGAGAGGAGTATGCATCAGGATATTCAGCTCCCTATAATGTCAACAAAGTTATGTATGGTGAATTTTCCATGTCTGTTGGAACAGTGGTTCTCAGCTGGTGGGCCAAATGGAAAAAAAAGAACATTCTGATTATGTCAGCCTTCTGGTAAATGGTTGAATAAATGAGTGAATCATTTTATTAAGACATTATGTTAAGTTAGCAGTGCTCCGCTAAAGCTACATACTTCATCAAATAAGGTTATGGCATGTCATTAAGTAGTAATGGAGGGTCCTAAAGCCAGACCAGTTGGAAACCACTGTGCAAGTTTGTTGCTGATAATAAAAACAAAATCTCTAACAGCCTTCTCACTCTGGAATTAAAGCTGCAGTAGGCATTTACTGTATGCATTATTTATGACTACACATCCCAATAGGTATTCATAAATTAGACTGACCAAAAAAGAGTATTTCAGTCATTGTTGTTCAATAGGTGGTCCTACAGTGTAGCACAATTTGTATTTAGGCTTTCAAAGAAATGCATATAAGTGTACCAGAGCACCTCTGAAGGTGGTCTGGTGGTACCTTGTGAGTGTTTACGCCTGTTTTTAGTAACGTCCAGGTACTAACAGATCACCCAACACAGAACAGATGTTTATATCGGGTCTGAACATGGCTGTGCATATCTATTAACAAACTGATGTCACTGCTACCAGCAGTTTGAATAACATTTAATCAGATTGTATTAAGGGATGTATAATAGTCTTCACAGTGAATCTGCAGCAGAAGCAAACTAACTAATGTATATCAGTTAGTTTTTGTCCAATTAAAACTAACAAATTTAAACACTTATTTGTCCTTGCAAAATAAAATATGCTTAAGTGTTATTTAGCTGATGGAGAGTGAAACATTGGATCCCAGCTGGTCACTTAATACACCGCTGTGCATGTATTCCTCCTGTCTACAATTGTTCTGATACAGATGGAAAATGGTTTTGAAAGCATTTTTGCAAAATAGATATTCAAATTTTAGCTACCGTAAAACCCCCAATTTCCCAACTGTTAGAGAAAAAATTACAAATTTGTCTTATTTAAAAAAAACTTAAACTGATCAAAATTATTAATACAATAAAACCAGTGACTTGACCAAAAAATAAAATAAAACGTGTAGCGGTTAAAATCCTATATTTTAGGCTCCTGGTTGCTGTTGTTCCTGGTAGGCTTTGGTTTTACCTGCGCTCAATCAAGATTCATTATGCAGATCTTCATTTCGACTTATAAATCATAAAATCGTTTATTTCCCTCACAATGTCCATTGGCATTTCCATTTATACAATAAATAAATCAGCCTTGACAGTAGAAAACAGTTTGTCCCTTCTCATTAGCAACACCTGAACAGAATCACACCTGCCCTTAAGTAACCACCTTCCTCTGCGGACATATTCAGTACACAAAATGAAATGTACCCTCTAGTGGAGATAAACACAGAAAAACAAGATAAATGGCTCCTGCCAAAACGTATTCTTGTTTTTGTTCTGAATCTTTCTCCTGCAGAATCTGTAGGTCAGTTTACTGTTGTGCTTTATCTTGTTCAGTAGATTTATCAGTTTGAACCATCTTACAGCCATCAAAAAACCTCTTTACATAATGTGATGTATCTGTGAGCATGATGCAATCTGAATTACTGATTCTTGGAAAGAATGGCTTCTTGAATTAAACTTAAAGCGGCAGAATAAAGCACAGCAAAAGGACATTTTCTGTATTACTCTGAACTATCCTAGATGCATTTTCCACAATCGGTAACGATAACTGAGCAGAAATGGGTCTAAGGGCCTTAAAATCGTTCAGATGTTTATTTTCTCATCTGTGTAAACGGGCGGCGGTCTCCATGTTCAACTGCCCCCTCTAACAATGCTGTTATTGCATCACAGCCCTCTGTGCAAGCAGCCATCCGTCAAGTCAGTTTTGTCATTACCGTCACATGTGGTACATGAGGTGGAACAAAATTATTACCATACCACTTTATTTATAAAGCACTTAAAACAGCGACAAGGCCAACAAAGTGCTGTACAGACAAAAAAAAAACAGGTAACACACAAAGCAACATACAAAATGAGGTAAATCAGAATATAGACATAAAACGATGCAGATAATGACAACAAACCAGTGTGGAGCATACAGGATCAAAACACAGATCATCTTGTGTTGAAAGCTATTGAATAGTAGTGGGTTTTTAAACGGGACTTGAAAACCAAGAGGGAGCCTCTGTGAAGTCTGACACGTGTGAAGTGTCTGCTGACGGGAACAGCTGTTATCACTCTGCCGGTTTCACGTGAGTTGTACTTCTGCCACCTTTCTGGAAAAGCGGGTCAGCATCAACAGACTGTCCAGATAAAGCAGAATTCTCCTCCCTGATCTGTGTGGCGGCTGCAGAGCGATTCGACGCATTTTGAATGGAAATGTTGTCTCACAGTTCAAAATTGATAATTCTAAAGTGAATCTCATCCTTCCGGTCCATTTGGGACCAGGAAGTGACGAGAGTGGAACCCTGTGTTTTCCTCTCCTGGGAACCTGGAAATTACATTTTTAATCGGAATTTCCTGAGCTTCTGCGAGGGGGGACGAGATCTGTTCTAGAGATGACAGAAAACGTCTCTATCTAGAGTTCGTCCGAACGGGGGTTTGAGCTGTACTGCAGTGTGAATCCCCTGCTGATAAAAATGGTTCATCCATCTATCTGGAGCGCACGCACGCCGCCACTCCGCGTAACGTTTGGGAAGCGGGCACGGGTTTATGCTGCGTCACGTTATTTACGGATGACAATCACCGCCGTCATGTGTGCCTCACTCAGGCTGAGGGTTCACATCCGTGCTTATGTGAGCTGGCGTGCGCTGAGGGAAGGTGCGCGCACCCTGAGCATGCGGAACTGGTTTAGGACTGCCGCGGGTGCTCGGCATTTCTATGCCGCGCACAGGCTGCGGGCTCACATCCATGCTGATGTGAGCTGGTGTGCGCTGAGGAGAGGGGTGCGTGCCCTCATCAACGCGGTGCCGTTTGGGTGAAAACTGCCGGCGCCGTGGGAGCACGCATTTGACACCGCTGCGGTGAGAGGAAGCAGCGCGCACCTCAAGCTGAGAGCGAGGATTTCCCATTGGACTCGATCTTCTGAACACATTCACTTTTGGCTGCTGTGTCACGTGAGCGTTCTGTGTGTTCTTTGAGCTGCGGTGATTTTGAAAAAAAACAACACTGTTTTAAGGACACCGGCTCATATGTGTGGAGGATGTGTGAGGAGAAGCCGCTGTGAGGTCATTCGAACTGACAGACAGGCTGAATCAAACACTTTAATCTTTGAACGATGTTCGTGTTTTATTTCAAAACTCCTGTCATCATTTGCACACACACATCCCCCGCAAGGAGTCATTCCTGAATCTTCTCCCCCGTGAGCCCTGCGGTTTGTTGTCCCAGGGCGCCGCCTGTTGGTGATTTCTGATTACCGAGGGAATTTCCGCTCGGTAAAACCCCTCCACTCTGTTGATGGGCGCAGATGTGGAAACCGGCGCTCTCGGTCTACCGGGTCCGGCTGCAGCCTCGTTCCAGTAGAACGTCATTGCTGGGAAACGAGGCCAGATGGGATCAGGACGGCGAGCCGGGGTGGAGCCCAGAAACCTTCCCGCTAGATCATCCAATCTGGGCGGGGGGAGGAGAGGGACGGAAAAAAGTCCCTTCATGTCAGCCGCCTCCTGGATTATGCCGGGCAGCTCCAGAAGAGGGCACCAACGGCTGGGAGAGGTGTGGGCGCCGATGCGAAAAAGGTCCGGGGAGGGTGAGCATTCACTCAGCCCCCCTCGTTCCGAAACTAGGCTCTCCAGGAGGGAGTGAGCAGCGGAGGCTGCTGCTGACATCGCCTGTCCTGGAGGAACCATTCGATTCGCTCTGAGAGTCGGCGATAAAAGGAAAAATAAAAGATGGTGTCGTCCAGCGTGTAGTGACCAGCCACTGAGAAATATTCCTCGGTGCTTACCTTGAAACAAGGCTGCTCGTCTGCTTCTCCTCCGGGAGGAGAACTCACAGGGACGGCAGGAGGTTGGCGTGGTGGGACCACAGGCAGCCTTAACAAAGATTGAGCTCGTCAAGCTGGACAACTTCCCTTCTTCATTCTTCTGACAGTACTATTAGCTTGCTGAAGAAAAATGGGAGCCGATTACCTGCTCTTAACGTAACTTATACCATACCACTTTATTTATAAAGCACTTAAAACAGCTACAAAGCCAACCAAAGTGCTGCCTTGCTATACGGACCGGGTGGGGCCCACACAACAGGTGGACGTGGACTAAATTTTTTTCAGTGCGATGCTTTGCATGACGGGATAAAACCCACCAGCGACAGCTCTTAAAGGGCGAAGCCTATACGAAATAGAACTGGCTCCAGGTGATGTCTCATCTGTCCTCTCTTCAACCTGTTAAAAAGACAAATTACATAAAATCTGTTATATAACTTGTCTATAAGTTTTAGTATAATGTGAGAAATAACAGTTACCTTTGAGCTGCAGCTGCATCAGAGCTTCTAACATTTGTTGTTTCATGGTGAAGTTGTGCAGCTGCTTATCGCAAAAAAAAAATCTACATGAAGGAATAACAAACATTGAAATCATCGTATTAAAATAAACCTGAACCCGTCACCTTCACTGAGCTGTCTGATCATAAATCCTTTGTGATGCAGCAGGAGATGGAGAGGGAACTCTTTGCATTCTTTGGGAGAAGCCTGGAAGTTTGTTGCAGAGTTCGCTGGTCGGCTGCTTCGCTTTCATCTTCCGTGAATTTTGCCTTATATCCAAAATACTGTACTGCAATTTTATTTTACACTTCTTGTAAACAACCGTGCTCTTGTTCAGCTCTGTCTTCCCTGGAACATTGTAGGATCTGAAATGATTTTTGAAGACGAAGCAGCGAGTTGAATCGTGCTGTCCCCCTCCTCCATGCTAGCAGGCTCCATTCAGATAAAGGGAGCTGGCTAACTAGCTTGCTGTACGGTGGCCTACACGGCTCAATTCTACGGCAGCTGAACGGGGAGTAGGAGCGGAAAAAATATAAAACTTAAATGCATTTTAAAATCGATTTTTGGACTTTTAGAAACGATTCAGAATCGCCAGGACTAAAAATCTAGATTCATCGAAAAAACTATTTTTTTCTGCACCCCTACTCTGATTTGCTACAACCGTATGTCCCACCACGTTCCCTGAGGTCAGCGGACCAGTTGCTCCTCACAGTTTTGTATTTTGCTTTCTGTGTTACCTGTTGTTCTGTCTGTACAGCACTTTGGTTGGCCTTGTCGCTGTTTTAAGTGCTCTATAAATAAAATGGTATGGCATGGTATTTTGATTGATTTGTTGTCATCCTAATTTTTTTCCTTTTTTTTCTGCAAAAACAGAGTAGTGTGGACTGATGTCTTCACAGTATTCTAATTTTTTTTTTAATCCTGTTTTCATAGGTTTCATGAGCTGGAAGCCCAAATTATTTAAAAATAAACAAATACTTGAAATAGTTTAAATTGTGGGCCCTGAATTTATCATCTATTAAAGATTAACCTTTTGAATGGAATTATGAAAGTTGAACAACTTTTTCATGATAGTCTAATTTTTTGGAAATGGTCTGTATACGTGTTGTGTGTATGTTGTGTGCGTGTGTGCGCGCGATTTGTTTCCAATTTTTGGTGTCACGATTTGATTAAAAATCAGTTTTTTGATTCAGAACAGATTTTTCTATTGAAATGGTGAAAAAAATTGGTTCAGTTAAGTAACTGACGGGCTGAAAAGAATAAACAACAATGTAAACGAATAGAACGGGTTTTTTTAAACAATTTCATATTCTTTACTGGATCAAATCTTTTTGGATCATTTTATATTTATACCAAAAATAGGAACAAATGTAGACGTGCACAACCTTCTGTAACTTAAATTACCAGTATTAGGTTAGCTTAGGTGCATGGATTTTTCAAAAATATATATCTAGGAACAAATAATTCATCCATCCATCATCTTTACCCACTTCTTCCTTTACTGGTCACAGGACCCCTGCACTGGGCCAGGGGTCATTTAAAATGGAGTGTGGCAAAATGGAAGACTGTTCTGTGGTCAGATGAGTCACAATTTGAAGTTCTTTATGGAACACTGGGACGCCATGTCATCCAGACCAGAGAGGACAAGGATAGCCCAAGTTGTTATCTACGCTCCGTTCAGAAGCCTGCATCACTGATGGTATGGGGTTGCATGAGCGCTTGTGGCATGGGCAGCTTGCATGTCTGGAAAGGCACCATTAATGCAGAGAACTATGTTCCTGGTTCTACCTCTTTATGATGCGCCAAATGTTCTCTATAGGTGAAAGATCTGGACTGCAGGCTGGCCATTTCAGTACCAGATTGTTCTCTTACGTAGCCATGATGTTGTGATTGCTGCAGAATGTGGTCTGGCATTATCGTGTTGAAAAATGCAGGGTCTTCCCTGAAAGAGATGATGTCTAGATGGGAGCATATGTTGTTCTAGAACCTGAACATAGTTCTCTGCATTAATGGTGCCTTTCCAGACATGCAAGCTGCCCATGCCACAAGCGCTCATGCACCCCATACCATCAGTGATGCAGGCTTCTGAACGGAGCGTTGATAACAACTTGGGCTATCCTTGTCCTCTCTGGTCTGGATGACATGGCGTCCCAGTGTTCCATAAATAACTTCAAATCGTGACTCATCTGACCACAGAACAGTCTTCCATTTTGCCACACTCCATTTTAAATGACCCCTGGCCCAGTGCAAATGTCTGAGCTTGTGGAGCTTGCTTAGAAATGGCTTCCTCTTTGCACTATAGAGTTTCAGCTGGCAACGGCGGATGGCACGGTGGATTGTGTTCACTGACAATCCTTTCTGGAAGTATTCCTGAGCCCATTCTGTTATTTCCTTGACAGTGGTATTCCTATTTGAGGTGCAGTGACGTTTAAGGGCCCGGAGATCACGAGCATCCAGTAGAGTTTTACGGCCTTGACCCTTACGCACAGCGATTGTTCCAGATTCTCTGAATCTTTTGATGATGATATGCACGGTTGATGATGATAACTTAAAAGTCTTTGCTATTTTACGCTGGGTAACACCATTCTGGTATTGCTGCACTATCTTTCTGCGCAACAATGGTGGAATTGGTGATCCTCTTACCATCTTGGCTTCTGAGAGACACTGACACTCTGAGAAGCTCTTTTTATACCCAATCATGTTGTCAATTGACCTAATTAGTGTTAATTGGTCTTCCAGCTGTTTGTTATATGCTCAATGTCCTTTTTCCAGCCACTTATTGCTACTTGTCCCAACTTTTTAGGGGATTTGTTGACACTGTGAAATTTTGAATCAACATATTTTTCCTTTAAAATGTTACATTTACTCAGATTAAACTTTTGATCTGTCATCTATGTTATATTACGAATAAAATATTGACATTTGCCATCTCCACATCATTGCATTCAGTTTTTATTCACAATTTGCTTAGTGTCCCAACTTTTTTGGAATCCGGTTTGTATATATGAATATGTATGTTTGTGTGTGTGTGTTTTATGAAATTTCTTTAACGGGTTGTGAACGGTAGGCACCGAATATTCACACGAGAGGAAAATGAAACAAAGGAGACTGTTACTGCTAGAAATAATAGTGTCATTTATTAATCTGCCACAGAAAAACAGCCAAGCAAAAACATGTACACTCGTACACTCTTAACACACAAATTGATATGAAAGTCCTCTCACCGTTGACACTTAGTCGGGAAGCCTTCGACCCAATGACAGGAAATCACATCAAACTGCTGGGCACCGCGCGCTAGTCCACAGCAAGACTTCTGACTCTCCTTGCCTGTCACACCTCCTATATACCCCTCCCTGAGCGGATCGCGTGAGAGCAGTGAAAAACAAGTTTGATGGTTGTCAGGAGGACAGACAGAAAGTCGGTATCTCATTAAAACATGTTTTCTATCATCAAAGCAGTCTGTACAACAGAGCGATGGCTCATAAAAACATGTCTTTCAAACCCAAAGTCGTGGGTGGATGAAAGACCTGTCTACATCAAACTCTGGGTCACTGTAACTATAAGATAGGCCAGATCCCACGGTTAGAGCATCCCCCGGAGGCTCACTTTTAATTACTCCAAAACACATCTGCAGCACAGGCCTGACTTTGGACAGATAAGCTGCATATAAAGTGAGTATAAGTATAAATTGACATAAAAGCATCAAAATAATCATTCCTATATCATTCCACCCTTGCCTTTTATGGCAATTTAGACATTTAATTCTGATAAGTAACACATACAAAATATATGTTTGAATAGGCATAAAGGCAACTTTCATTCCACCCTTTGCCTTTATGGCATGTAAAACATAATACAACTCTTTA